GTGTGTTTATATATTGTGTACGGACTTTGAGATACTCATGCAGTCGTCTTCATCATCACTTTAGCATCGACAGGACACATTTTCTAACATCCTGTCAGATTCTGTTAACTTTTACTTGACACAGAAATTGAGGCCAATAAAGACCAATAAAAGCCTCAGCCAGAATGTGCTAAAGTCCACTCTTACTCTGCATCAGTTTGTTGTTTTGCAGGACTGCTTTTATGCTGTTTCATAACAAATACATAATACCCTGAATTCAGTGCATTATCATAATGTAGTTAGCCATAGTCAGCCAAGAAGCCGTGGCCTTGTGGTTGCTATCTTCTGATGGAGTATCAGGAAGAAATGTAGACAGTGGAACCAGGGAAGCATCAATGTTTGAGGCACTTGTAGTAGTCTTGTAATCAGTGATCATTTGGATGTCCTGCTACATGTGCTTCATGTTTCCTGGAGGAGATGAAGCGATCGTTTACTTTTTTTATTTGTGGTCCCACTTTGCCAGCTTAATAAGGGTTGTGTCTTTTTGCTCTGGGTGCAACATGATCTTCCGCTCTGAAAGGAGCCCTCCTTATTGTTTCCATTCATTAAACTTCTGCTACAAACCACTACTTCTGGTTGGCATGTGTAGCAACTGACTATATTTAGTCTAAAATACTATATTTTTATATGTAGCTGTGGTGGTAGGACTATGTTGCTGCAACAGTGAAATAAGAGTGAATTCTCAATCATTAATAAAACAATATGCAGGCCATAGCTCAGAGTGGATGATCACATAGACTGGACAAAATGTATCAGTAAAGTGCAGCGTAAATAACCATCAGTGTCCATGGTAATGGAAAGACATTCACCAATAGCTGTCTAATTAGCACATTATCTCAATTCGGTGCTTTTTGCTATTCTGGCTTTTGACTGTAATTTGGCAGTCTGACTGTCCATAATTCACAGTATTAGCTCTGTCTTTGGCTCTCATTCCTGAACCTAATGCCTCTCTAGTGAAGGAGGCTGTCAGTGATGATGCATTGGTATCACAAAGTCAACCTTTTTAGTTTTTCTGCACTGGAGTCATCCGTTAGTGATAATGCATTAATTAAAATTTATGTTGGATTTGCAATGCTAAAGTTTCTTTGTTGAAAATGCAAAAAATCCTAAACAGTGAAAGGACATTTCTGAACCCACAGCATGCTGCTGTTGGGTATTTTTCTATTCCATCTCAAAACTCTTTGTAGAATAAATGGAGCTGGAAGGCACAAGAAGTCACAGGTGGACTTTGAAAGTAGGGTCTTGATTTACCCAAAATGAAAAAGAAAAATGACAAAAAGAAGCAATGGAGAACCAGAACTATGGTGAAGCCACCATATAAAAAGAACTAAACTAAGACTATGATTATAAAAGAAAACGAATAATACTAATAGCTTAGCACAGAAAGTCAAAGGAGCTTGCAAAGAAAAGCGTCTGGACTTCTTTAAGTTGCCTGAAGACGTTTCACCTCTCATCCGAGAAGCTTCTTCAGTTCTAAGGTCAAATGGTGGAGAGTCCCAGATTTAAACCTAGTGGGAGTTTCCCCCCAAAGAGGGACAAAAGGACCCCCTGATGATCCTCTAATCGCCTGAGCCAAGGTGTGAAACTGGGTGTGGGTCCCAATCAGCCAGGTTTCGGGTGAGCTCATTGTGAAACCTGTCCCCACCTTATCATGCGAATTCCTGAGGTCAGATGGCCCAGGATGTGAGTGGGCGTTAAGGCGTCTGGGGAGGGAACTCAAAACTGGATTATAGATGGCAGACAGTTGGTGTCATAAACCACCGCCTCTGTTCAAAGATGGTCGCTCACAGTGGACATAGATGGCTTCTTTCACTCCTCTTTCAAACCATCTGTCCTCTCTGTCCAAAATGTGAACACTGGCATCCTCGAAAGAGTGTCCTTTATCCTTAAGATGCAGATGGACTGCTGAGTCTTGTCCTGTGGAGGTGGCTCTTCTGTGTTGTGCCATACGCTTGTGAAGTGGCTGTTTGGTCTCTCCAATGTAGAAGTCTGGGCATTCCTCACTGCACTGTACAGCATACACCACATTGTTAAGTTTGTATTTTGGCGTTTTGTCTTTCGGGTGAACCAGTTTCTGTCTGAGCGTGTTGCTGGGTCTGAAATACACTGGGATGTCATGCTTGGAGAAAAAGTCTCCTGAGTTTCTCTGATACACCGGCTACATAGGGGATGACAATGTTGTTGCGTCTGTCCTTCTTATCCTCCCTCACTGGTGTCTGATCTTCTTTTCTGTGCTTCTTTGCTGACTTTAAGAATGCCCATTTAGGATAACCGCATGTTTTGAGTGCTTCCTTTACATGTGTGTGTTCCTTCTTTTTCCCTTCAGGCTTAGAGGGAACATGTTCTGCCCGGTGGTGTAGGGTCCTAATTACTCCAAGTTTGTGTTCCAGAGGGTGATGGGATTGCAGGAGGTACTGGTCCGTGTGTGTGGGCTTCCGGTAAACTTCATTGTTGAGGTTGCAATTCTCTTCAATGTGCACGGCGCAGTCCAGGAAAGGCAAACTGTTATCCTTTGTGTCTTCCCTGGTGAACTTGATGTTTTTATCCACAGCGTTAATGTGCGCAGTGAAGGATTCCACTTCTTGTGTCTTGATTTTGACCCAGGTGTCGTCTACATATCGGTACCAGTGGCTGGGTACTCTCCCTTTGAAAGAACCCAGAGCCTTCCTTTCCACTTCCTCTATGTAAAGGTTGGCTATAATAGGTGACACTGGGGAGCCCATGGCACAGCCATGTTTTTGTCTGTAGAAGCCTTCGTTGTATTTGAAGTATGTTGTGGTAAGGCAGAGGTCTAACAGTGTGCAGATCTGATCAGGTGTGAAGTTGGTCCTGTCCTCCAAGGAGCTGTCTTCTTGTAGTCGTTTTCTGACAGTCTCCACGGCCTCAGTGGTAGGTATGCAAGTGAAGAGAGAGACTAAATCAAAGGACACCATGGTTTCATCTGGGTCCAGGGTAAGTTTCTGGACCTTGTCGGTGAAGTCGGTGGAGTTCTTGATGTGGTGTGGGGTGTTCCCCACGAGAGGTGCAAGGATGGTAGCAAGGTGTTTTGCAATGTTATAAGTGGCTGAGTTTATGCTACTGACTATGGGTTTGAGTGGGACATCTTCCTTGTGGATTTTAGGAAGCTTCTTGGATGAGAGGTGTAACATCTTCAAGCAACTTAAAGAAGTCCAGACGCTTTTCTTTGGAAGCTCCTTTGACTACAATGACCTGGATGACTGAGAACCTTCACAGACACTTAGTACAGAAAACTAAATTGACCAAATCAAGAACAATAACGAACATCAATCCATCTATACATTCATTTTCACAATTGCTCATCCAGTTCATGATCACAGGGGGCTGGAGCCAGTCTCTAATATGGCTAACATTTATACCAATCACCATTAATGTTAATCCGCTAACCCCCCTGTTTGCTGCCAAATCCAAACCTAAGGCTTTCCAGTCAACCGTGGCATATAGATGAGCAATGTTATATGTTTAACAAGAGTGTAAATTGGCTAATCAGAGCAATTAGAGGGATTAAAACTAATCTTCAGTCACTATCTACAAAAGAAGCCAAAAAAAAAAAAAAACCCCAGCTCTGTTCGTATTAGCTGAAATAAATAACACAATAATATTAAATCTGGATTAGCACAGACGCACAGGTACACACATTTCTTTGTGAAAAACAATGTGCCTCAGCAATGACACCTTAATTGCACTAGTAACCAGTCATGGGAGTTACCAACTTCTCCTTTAGTCGTGTTGCTGCAGATGCGACACTTTAGAATTCAATTTCCCCGACACTTTCACACAGCTGTTGCTCAAATCCAGTATGCAGTTTATTTTCTTAAACTGTCCAGCCGACAGGTCAATAGCACTCAAAGGTGCTGTAACACCTCGACAGGGGAAATATTTTGCTAGACAGCAGCTGTTTGCTTTCTTACCACTTAAAGCAGAGGTCACCTCAGGGCAGGTCGGCTACTCATAAACATGTGCCACATCTGGGCACGTTCTGGGTGCGCCACAGAGGCTAGCATGCTCTCTATTTTTAAATTGATGGACACTTTGTTTGTCTCACCCGAAAACCCACAGAGCATATATCAATTCTGTGAGATAAAAACTAAAGCTAAGAAGCATTTTTACATGAATCCAGGAGCAAATAGTTCACTTTAAATAAAAATTGTGTAATAAAACCACTGTATCACATAGGAGGTGCTTTGCTAAAATCTGTATGATGATCTTGCTGCTCATGACTTTGGGGGACAAATCCCACCGAATTAAGTCTTTCTTTTGTTTTTGATGTCGCGAATTTTGCTTCCACTGAGCCTTAATCAGTTTCACTGGCGGTGACAAATCATGAGCATTAGTGTCTGTTGTTAGAGTTCTACACCATCACCATACATAACATCTAGATTTTAATTTATAAACCCCTTTTGTTTCCTTCCACTTTTCCCCAAAGCACAAATATGTTAATTCTCAGTGCGTAAACAGGTGCTTAGGTGTGAAGAGGGAGTGTGACTCAGAACAAGATTACTCTGGGTTCAGTTTGCACCCCCAGCGTCCAATCTATTGTTATGTCCCTGTGTGTTGGGAAGTTTCCCCTTGGTGATCCAGTTTCCTCACATTAACCAAAGACATGCAGGTCAGGTAGACTGTTAATGAGTGATTGCATATCTATGTTAGACCTCTAATTGCCTGGCCATCTGTCAAGGGTTGAACTCTGCCCTCTTGTTTGAAGCACACAGGGAAAGTTTGTGGCTCTGAAGACCCCGAAAAATAATAAACAACTGAAGACAGAACATGAATGAAAGCTCAAAGCCTTAAAACAAAGAGCAGCAAATTCCCACCTTGATCTATTTTAATGAGAGACTGGCAATAGACCACCCACATAACAATTAGTGTAACAGGAATATCTTCTGAACTGTTTTTATTATTTAACAAATAACAGTGTGTTGACCCTCAGGTGAGTACTAGGTTTTAGCCTCGCCTGCTGGTTTGCGTGAAGTTCTAGTCTCTTTGTACATTTGGAGGTAAAGGCTCTTCCTGGCTGATCAAAACATATTGTTAGGGTGAGAAACTATAAGGAGCCATTTGGTATGCAATCCACTTCTGTATTTGTCCCTCATTGCCTATAGCGGCACAGTGTGTATCCATCGTAAAATTCATTGCAGCTGCAAGATGCAGTACACTGTAAAGATGATTTATAATGCTCTTGAGATGGAATGAGAAGCACAAGTACTTCTAAAATTCTGATTAGACTGTCAAAGAAAGGCTCCTAAAACTTAAATCTGGAATTTAAAAAAAAAAAATAGGGATCATTATCGATATAGGTAATCTGTTTTCTATAAGTGACTACTTTCAAAATCAGTTTCCTATAGCTTACATCCCCAAATGGGGTTCAGGTTATTCTATACTTCTTTATTTGGCTGAAAGGCTAAAAGTAATCTACTGGAAAAAGGTACCAGACTCCAATTTGGCAGCTCACCAGTGAGTCAACATAGCTGCACAGTCTCAGCTAGGGAATTCTCGTACACTCTGCTTTTAGGGCAGCTGTTCCCTCTCTGACAAGAGGTCACCTCAGTACATAGTTTTCTTGACAGATTTTTTTTTCTGAACTCGAGGTAGTAAAAACGCATTAAATTTTGGCACGTCTTTATAACCATGCTCACATATGCCTCTCTCTGCTGCTTTAGAATAAAGTTAGTCGGCCTTGTTCCCACGACTGTCAAGGCCCTGTATATCACAAGATTGTGAAAATTATTATCAGTCCTGGATACTGAAACCTGGACATGGCATATTCTAGCATCTACCTTTGAAAAAGCCTGTCTTGTGAATTAATTGCGTTCCTTCAGCAAAAAAAAAACAAAAAACAAAAACATGCTGTAGTTACTATAGGTAACACATATCATCACCTTGAGCTTCTGACTCAAGTGAATGAATCTGGTAAATATGCTATTATGGGAGGAGACACAGATCCCCTGGGGGCTGCGTCAGGAAGGGCATCTGGGGTAAAAAAAAATCTGCCAAATCAAATGTATGGAGCTGCATGCTGTGGTGACTTCTTGCAACAAGGGAGCTGTCAAAAGAAGCTCATGTTAGAAAATCATTTGGTAACAAGGGATCTTGAATGCTCCTGTTATCATGGGTCATTTGAAAGGCTGATCAAATAATGAGTAAATATTAAAAACAACCAAAAAAATATTGATTCTTCTTTTAGAAAGAATTCAGATGTCAGGAAAGAAAAACATTGTTTTGGTTTCTGGGCATAACTGCAATAAGGAGCTAGCTTTTACCGCCATCAGGACTGAAACAAAACCTATACCCACATGTGTTACCCTCTATAGGGGTCACCTTAGCTTATTTGGCAGCTGAAATGACAGACTGAATGTAATTCATTAGATGTGTGCAGTGCTGACATTTTAACAGGGCTCCAAATCTCTTTTTTCTTTTAAGGGAAAACATAGAACAGCACAACAACAAAGTGAGCGTGGCAGGCCGACTGCTTTCTTTCTGGAGAACCCTAAGTGGGAATAACGATACAGAGAAGCATCAAACCTGCTCTAATACCCTTAAGGAGGAGGATAAGCCTCTCCCAGAACATTTGTAGCCGAGGTTGCAGTGAAGTAATGAACAAAATATAGTGATTTGCGGTTGTGTGCTTTGTGTATTTTTCTTTTACAAGTCAGTGATTTGACTTTGGTCAGAACACGTGTATTTAGGTAGAAAGACACATAAATTATACATTTACTAAATTATTTATTCTTATGAGATAATTTCTCCCCTCTGCTGGTGCACTGTGACTCAGCACAACTGCAGCCTCAACTCAACAAGGGCATTCAGGAAGTAGTCCATCCAATTAAGTCTGTGCATTCTCTAGTGCTACCCGAACATAACGTCCCAACAGTGAGGGCATGTGAAAAGACATAGGGGATTCTCCGTTTTAAAATCCCACATTCTTCCATTGCTCCAGGACATTCAGGGGAGGCATGTACCCTGTTATTGCTCTGCTATAGATGAACTGAAATGCTACGGTCTGAGCTGGTAATGTTTTAGAGGTTTTGTTGACTAAAAATGCTCTAAAAGTACCTCTTAGATTACCTACTCTAGCATTCAGAAAAGCATCAGATTTGGGAATGAGAGAGCGAAAAGATTGTTATCAGCCTCTCTCAGACTGTGGTCACACACTTTGAAGTTCACAGCACTATAACTTTACTGGGTGATTGACTGAAGGTATTTCACTGTAGGGTTGAATTGCTCAGTGCTCTTAACAATGTTTAAATGGCCTATTGAGCTGCTCTTAGCTGCTCTGCTGCTTGCTAATGACCTCAACATGATAATGCTTCACTTACCCCTTTGAAAGGCATCCACCCTTAAAGAATAACTTTTTGGAACAGAGCAAATTTCAGCAAAGAATATCTCTCTTGAAATACTAGGGAAAAAAAACAGAAATAATGTAGTGAAACCAAAAGCGAATATAGAAAAGTGCTGAAAACCCATTTCATGTGTACAACACATGCTTGTTTGCTTTAGGTGAACATTTTGAAAGGCCCAGAGAGCACTTACCGTTGTTTCCTTCTGCAGTGTTTCTTTTCTTTCTGTCTTTGTTGCTTTCTTTGCTTTAGCGAATAAAGAAGCTAATCTAATGTAGTTTGGGGTTGCAGGCTGCTCTTAATGTCTTTCTAAATGGGCCCATTTGGATCTATTGAACAGTGCTGAGCTTCTTGCTAATGACCTTGTGATAATGCTTCAGTTCCTTTAAGTCTGTAGTCTCCCTTGACTGTCTAGACACACACACACATACGCAAACATAAATAAAGTACAGAAACGTATAAGGCAACAGAAATGCTCACATAGCATTGAGTGAAACAGCTGTACCTTAACACTATTCTGCCTCAGTTGTTAAGGCAGATATACCTGAGAAA